GCTCCGCAATCACGCGGGGTGTTGTCAGATTACTTGATAGAGAACTATTGCAACCGACAAAATAAAGATAGTGGGGCTTTAAATATTAATGAATAGTCGTGGTAGCCGACATTAGAAGGTATACCATGGAGAGAATCGAACAGGCTAAAAAGCAGCATTACCCTTAAAGCTGCGAAGGCAAAGTTGGGCATAGGCCAAAATTGGATTTATGTATTAACGGACAAGGAAGGCAATGTCATAGCCAATATAGATAGGATAGTCGAGATGACAGAGGAGTTTTACGGAGGAGATGAGGAGTATTACAGAGGAATGTACAGAAGCCGAAACAACCAGGATGATATCGTGAGAAACAACAATAGTCCCGAGGAATTTGAAAACATACCATTGATGACAAGAGAGTAAAGAAAGCCCTAGAAGGAATGCAAAAAGGCAAAGCCGCTGGAGACGTAAAGGTAAACTCTAAAGGAAAATTACCCGAAAATGTGTAACGGAGCCAAATAGTCGTGCGCAATGAACGGATCGACCGTTGAGGAGTAGCCAGAGAGGGATGCGTTGCCGCGTGCAAAGCACTTAGTATCCAAAGGGATGAACCGCGTGGGAGATGCGGTCCATACGCATACTGTTGGCAAGGGCACTTGCCGTCTTCCTCTCTCCTGGCTGAGTCTTCCCCCTCATTTTGATGGTGACGGTTGGTGTTGCGGCGCGCTCGAAAAGCTCGACGATCTAGGAGTCGCGACGCGGTGCTTTGTCTGTACGCTTGTAGTAGCGTGCGCTGCTGCTTTTACGTTTCGCCAGACCCATGCATGAAGTCTGGAGCAGGTCTCCACACGACGCCACGCCACGCTGTATATCTCTGGTTTAGTCACGTTGGTCACGGTCAACTCGCGACAGCACCGGTTGGAAATGAAGGCCAACATGGCGGCCGAGAAGACAGCAGCCTATCGGATACATTATATCAGTCTGACAAAGGGCAGGCATCAGCGCTGGATTTGTTCACAAGTAGGTGATCATTCCTTATTCTGCCATAATTGTTGCGTGTGTAATACGGATCGCAGTTGCCGGCGACGGGTTCGGTTGTGCTGTATATCGCACGCATGAAATGCCCCGCGAAGGTCGGCTTGCGCGTCTGCAGTTCGCCTCTGCTCTTTGACCACCTGGAAATTGACCGCCATTGCTGTCAGCCACCCGTATGCTCGCTCATCGAGTACTCGCCTGTGTTCGCCGCCGTGATGAGCTCTGGGCTCACGTTATTGGGCGGAGACCTCGTCGCTTTGTTGCGAGTCGTCAAAACACGTTGGAGTTGCTGGTAACGAATAGCTTGGATGTGGCGCGCTGCAAGTGCGCCGGCACGGGCTTGCAGAGCTTTCGCTAGTGTTGAAACTCGGTGAAACTTGGTCGCCGTTACATTTGCCTTCCCCGTCAATCGGTCACAAGCCACTCGGCGCCGGCTGTTGGCAGCAACAGCAGGGGCGGAGTCGCGTTGGCTCGCTGCACTCACTCGAGTAAGTGTAAAATCGGCGCATTACTACCGGTTTCTTCGGCGCTCGCTTTAAAACAGCTTGGTGCTGTTCGTGGCGGCGGTCTAGCATGCTCGCTCTTCTGTTCAAGGTTCACTGGCAGCAGACGCTCCACATGCAACGCTGTGTTTGATCTCGCGTTCACTTGCTAGAGCTGAACGACGTCGTTCGTTTAGTATTCTCCCAACTTGCCGGCGGCTTGGTGGTTCGTGATGCCTCGGAGTAATGCCTGTGGCCACCACACTTAAGCTGTTGCGCTACAGGTATTGAAATACGTGTTTGACAATATGTGACACCATGGTGAAATAATTTGCATATCATAATTTACACATATGGTTTTATACCAACTTGCGCGTACATGTCGTATAAGTGCATTTTCATCTTCCCTCACGCGTGACTTACTATTTTTACAATTTTATTGTACAGCCGTGGGCGTGCAACATGCAGACGACTGTGCCTGTGTGCGCTGGCGTCTGCAATACCTGTCATCTATCGCTTACGTCGGAACATCTGTAGAAAGACTATATGAGAAATTAGATACTTGGGTGTCGTATTTTACACGTACGTTTTCTTATTACCATGCACGTACTTGTCGTATTTCGTGCATATTCAACCTCTGTCACGTGTGACTTGACTATTTTTACAATCCTATGTGCAGCTTTTGGTACAAACTGTGCAGAAAGCGGCGGCCGTGTGCGCCGGCGTCTGCAATGCCTGTCATCTATCGCTTTCGACAGAACAGCTTCAGAAGGACTTTACGAGATGTGAAGGTAAAGTTATTTGCGTGTCATATTTTACACATAAGTTTTTATATCAACTTGCGCATACTTGTCGTATGCGTGCACCTTCATCTTCTGCCCCGCGTGACTAACTATTTTTACAATCTTATTTAGAGCCGTGGGCGCACAAAATGCAAAAGGGTGTGTGCGCTGGCGTCTGCGATTCCGGTCATGTATCGCTGCTGTGTGAGGAGCTTCACAAGGACAGTACAAGATGTGACAAAGATGCTGGACTTGTATATTTCGCCAGGCATTCACTTGAAGAATGGAGAACCTTTGTGTGCTAATAAAAAATAAAAGATCTCAATGTCTCACTTTTGTCTTTCTTTGTTTCAATGAATTCGCATGCAGTGGCACACAGATAGCTAAATAATTTTTCGTGTGTTTTTTTCCGCGTCACATGTTGCTCGCTGTGCAGAAAAATGGGCGAAAAAAATATTAGGCCTGACGGAGACTGAATAGACAACAATACTTAAACTTGGGATAAAAAGTTCATCCGATAAGATTATTTGAGTGAACCAACCGATCATCCGGCAAACTGCAACTGTGAGGACTCACGGTTGCCTGGTAAGATGTATATGTGGGGATTATCGGTTGCCAGATAAGGCGTAAACGTGATAACTAAATGTTAGCCTTTGAGGTGATTTGGGGGACTAATGGTTGCCCTCTGAGGGGTAATTGTGAGAAATAAATGTTTACTCTGCCCTTGACTCTGCCCAAGCACAATGTTCATCCCCATACCTAAAACATTTTCCTTGTCCGTCACGAGAAAGTCCTTCTTGCCGCCGCTTCCCAGGTTTCCAAGTGGCAGTCCCCTTTGTGGTCGCTGTTTTCCTTTTGCTCGTTGGCTTCCTTTTATGTGTCGGCTTGTTCTGCCAGTTGTTATCCGCAGGTGCTTGAAGAATTTCTTTGGTGTTGTTCTTGGCACTTTCCATAGCGGTGTCGATGTTTAGAACTCGTTCCCATGTCACCTCCTTGTTCGGTAACGACAGGAGACGGCATCGGATGTTCTCGCTGCGAAGACCCGAAATTAGCCAATCTCGATATGTTTCTTCAATGAAGCTGCCGAACTCGCATGTAGCTGCTAGCTTCTTGAGCTCAACGGCAAATTCTCCAATTGTCTCACTTTGGCCTTAATCCCTCCGATTAAACCTGTACCGTTCCGTGACTATGGGTGTGAACCTGTACCGTTCCGTAAAACAAAAACGCACAGAAAACAAGCCCCTATACATAGCTTTCAATGATTACAAGAAGGCGTTTGACACAGTCAGGACATTAGCAGTAATGCAAGCACCACGGAATGAGGGTATCAACAGTCCCTACATAAACATGCTGGAAGAAATCTACAGTGGATCCACAACCACCATAGTTCTTTATAAGTAAAGTGACAGAACCAAATAAAGAAGGGCGCAAGCCAGTGAGACACGATATCCTTCGTGTTATTCACCGCGTGTTTACAGAAGGTTTTCAGGGCCCTAGATTAGGAAGAGTTGGGGATAGGACCTAATTAAGAACATGTTAGTAACCTGTGAGGCACTGATGACTTTACCTTGATGATGAACTCAGGGGAAGAATTACATCTTATGATGACTGAACTGGACAAGGAAAGCAATAGAGTGCATCCGAAAATTATATGCACGCAACTAAAGCACTGTGTCACCATGTCGAAAAAAACGCAATTTTGGATAGGTGAAGCGACGCTGGAAGGTGTAGATGAATATCTCTACTTAAGCACAGGTAGTAACCGCAGAGTTGAACCTTGACAGTGAAATAACCAGACAAATAATCTTGGTGTGGTGCACATTCGGCAACAATTTTCATATAATGTATGGTAATTCCACTAACCCTCAAAAAGAAGGCATATAACAAGTGCATCTTCCTGGTACTTGCCTACGGAGCAGAAACCTGTAGGTTTAAAATGACGGTTCAGCTTAAATTGAAGAGGATTCAGTGACTGATGGAAAGAAAAATGATAGGTGCAACATTAAAAGAGAGAAAAAAGAGCAGAGTGGGACCGGGAACGAACCTGGCTTTAGGATATTATAGTTGAAATCAATAAGAAGAAATGAACAATGGTGGGCACGTAGAACGTTGGCAGTATAACCACAAGTCATCATGCTTACTGGTCTGATTCGCATTGAAGAAAACGCAAAAGGGGGAGACAAAAAGTTGATTGATATTTGGTGTTTAACGTCCCAAAACGACCATAAGATTATGAGTGACGCCGTAGTAGAAAGCTTCTGAAATTTAGACCACGTGGTGTTCTCTTACGAGCACCAAAATCTGAGCACACGAGCCTACAGCATTTTTACCTTCGTCGAAAATGCAGCCGCCACAGCCGGGATTAGATCCCGAAACCTGCGGGTCAGCAGCCGAGTACCTTAGCCACTAGATCACCGCGGTGGGGCAGAAATACAGAAAGTGATGGGGGCTGATAAGAATAAAAAGTCGCAGGTATAACTTGGCAGCAGAAAGCACAACGCCTGGTTCATTGCCGAATCCTGGGAAAGGCCTTTTCTCTGCAGTGGGCGTAGTCAGGCTGATGATGATGACTGCTCTTACGGCGAGAACTAAAAGATCATGAAGGACATTTGAATACAATACTGAAGTTGAGACCACAGCCACCGTCTAACTTCCATTGCTGTTTGCACAGTTTCCTCAGGATGGTGTGAGTTTGTGAACTTTGGTCATTTTCCCACTGCAGGGTTCGTCAACCGGTTTCTCTCATGGAACGGATTTGTGCCTCTTGGCCGGCTTTCCTTCGGCGTGTACCTCATACACGTGCCGTTCTACAACCTCATGCACCGTATAACCAGAGAGCGCCGGTTCTACTCTCACTTCATATTGGTGAGCCAAAAACTGTTTTGTAACATGCCCTATAAAACAAGCACACAATAGCAAATAATATAAGACTCTAATTGCAAAATACCATGATTTTTTTTCAGCTCCTCACTCAGTACTGAGTATATCTTTTGGAATAGAAATTTCTCTGCGAACAAATTGTGCAGTCTCAGCAATATAAATAATATTGAAGTATGTTATGCACAAAAAATAAAGAGCTAATATTTATTTTTTTTGTTTGCAATACCACGAGTCCCTACTAATAAAAAGCGGGTAGGCACAAGGTACAGATGCTATATTATTCATTGTAGTATCAAATCAACAAATAAAAAACAACAGGAACAACAACTTGCCACTTTGTACACGCGCAATATGTACAACACATGTTTATAAACAAAATGCAAGTGCATAGATAGCGAGAAATTCAACCTTAAAGAATGCTTACAATTTACTCACTTGTTTCAATAAACTTGTCAATTGCTAATAAAACGTGCTCTGAAGTTTTGGCAATTGCTTATTGAAACTGAGACAAAGAATCGGTTTTAGTAATATGAGGTGCCAGTACATTTCATTCACGAATGGCAACCAGAGAAAATTTGCAGACATGAGTGTTGCCTTCGAATTGCACTAATGTGTTTGTATGTTTGTGTCTTGTGGCTAGTGTTATTGAAGAAGACACGTAATTTGAAATGCATATTTTAAAATAATTGGACAGGAGGTAATAAATAAATTTTAAACGTGCCTCTTGCTCTAGTTATTCTAGCATAAGAAGTCCAGAAATAGAATTTTAGTGGGTGAGTATAAACGCCAAAATTAGCCTTAGATAGCTTTTATGGCCTTCCTCTCTACTGCTTCTATTTTTTTGTGTTAGTGCGGGTGTGTGGAAACCGCACTGTACTTCGTACAGAACCACTATACTCCTACAGGAACTACTGTCGAGTGGACGTAACTTTTCATATTCGCCCTTGTGCTAACCCAACAAGTCAATCACAGTGCGCGAAACTTTCTATGATTTGCCCCGATGTTTTCGTTTTGATCTCGCAAGTTCGCCTTGTTATTCTCGTTTGATGCTCTTGATAACGACTCCGGCTTTTGGATCTAGGCCACGTGGTGGCAGCTGACATTGGGAACTAAAAGAATTTCATGCATACAAAAAAGCACTTCGTCGAAGAACGATTATGAGTGTTGCAGAATGTTTCCTCAATTGTGTAACGAATACCTATGTAAACAGTAGAGCCTAGCACAAAGACACATTTTTAGATCTGTTGTGATGCGACTGTCATGTGAGTGTTCACCGTAACCTTTTCATCATTATGCAGGTATCCAACTGCTTCATCGTCCTTGTGTGGAGCTATATGCTCAGCTTCATATTAACTCTCGTCTGCGATCTTCCCGTTGCGCAACTAGAGAAGCTCGTGTTCAACCGAGACATCAAGAACGGCGCTGGCACCCCGGAAGAAGTTCAGAAGCAGCACCAAGTAACGGGAGAAAACGCCGAAATCATTCCTGTTATGACAATGACTCACCACACTTCGAACAATTGTCGCACTGAGAGATAGCATTTCTACGAAAAAAAAAGTTCTACGCTTCCATTCAGTCGCCCTTTGAAAAACCCGCCCTCCAAGATATACCATTCGGCACTCGACTTCTCTCACGAAATGTTATTCTGGTGCGTTTTTTCACAAAGAAAGCGCCGCGCCTCGAGGTTTGTCGATAGTTGCTCAAAATTTGTTGGTCATGTCATTATGGACGCTGTGTAAAATGGACGGGTACAGTGGGATGCCCTATATAAGAAGGTGCTTGTTCGCGACAAAATATTCACGCACAAGAGTGTACAGGCTGAAGAAAAAAGCCACGAGAACTACCAATAAAATGGTTGACAATGCGCCTCATAACAAGCACTGGTGGCAATTAAACTGGTTGTTTTCAACGGAAATGCAAATTCACAACTGAAAATAACCATGGAGACATGATTAGCGCCCGTTGGCGGATACAAGAGCGTGTGAAAGGACAAAAAACGGATATATATATATATATATATATATATATATATATATATATATATATATATATATATTTATATATATATATATGTATATATATATATATATATATATATTTATATATATATATGTATATATATATATATATATATATATATATATATAAATATATATATATGAAAATAGTGCGTTTAGCAGGAAGGAAGAGGGGAAATTTCTGAGATCTCTCGATGCCTTTTGTGGGGCAGTCAATAACATGGGAGAATGCCTACAAGATCTAAATCTAGACAGATCTCCACGCAACAATCAAAGTGTCACTTGATTCAAACAATGTGCTCTTTGCTCCACCACATAGCTTTGTACCCCTCACAAGACTATTTCGTGCATACGTGCGAGCTTGCCATGACGCTATTGTGTGTCCATTTAGTGACAATTTGAAATTGTTGCATGCAACAAGGAAATGATGCTTTCAAGTATAGTATAATATTTCCCAACGCCAATAAAAATCTTTAGGCAAGTTTGTTGGTCTTTGAAGTCCTAAAACAACGATATGATTTTGAGGGACACCTGTGGAAGGCTCCGGAAATTTACACCATCTTGTTTTTTTTTTTCGTTTGCACTGACATGACCTCGTACAACGTTCTCTAGTCTTGCGCCTCCCTCAAAATACGACCGCCATGGCAGAGCTTGAACGAAGGACCTCCGGGTCTGTAGCCAAGCACCATGACTGCCACGGGACCGAGCACCGATAATGAGAAAAGCTTCGTTTGCACAGAACAGGCACCAAAGACGCATTTGCGACTTCACTCGTGTCCTAATTTTAGAAATAAACTCTAATTAAAACTTCCCACATTATTTATGTCGTCCTTCTCGTAATGGTAGTCTGTAAAAGTTCCAAGCATGCAGTGAAAAAGTCTAAACTTGCCTCGAGTGCCATACGGAGAATGTATGAGAGAGACAAAGTTCTCCTGACACACGGAGAAGCGTAGAACACCGAATATGCTGCGGCATCAGAGGCGGTATTTTACTTGTGTTTTTACAAGGGCCTCACACAATTTCTTCTGGCTCTCTAACTGTAAAACTCCGCAAAAGGTTTTGATGGAAACCGAGTTGTGACTGTGTGATATGGCACTTTTTCGAAATGGAACGGCCTCATTAGGAGCTAATGCGCATCTCTCTGCACGCAAGATTTCACTTCTAAAACCTATAAAAACATTCTAAGTGATACGCGTTTTTCTTAAGAGTTATAAATTGTTCAAGGCACCACAACAAAAGATGGCTTTGCCTAACAGAAACACACAAAAATACGCCCCTGCAAGATGCATGTTCCGACAAATGTTGGCGTTTAGGCAGGTGACGCTGAATGTATATAAATATATATGCTTTGGTACAATTTTTACGACCTACGCGGCTCGTTGTCAATCCCATTGCAAGTCAATAATTTAAACTGCTCTATGACCTCAGCACATTGTCCTTGTGCAACATTATTACTACAGGTCTTATACTGCTGTTCATGTTCCTCTTGCTTCGGACAGGTCCATATGAAAGTATTGAATCAATCATTGAACTTAGTCGACTGAAAAGCTGATGCCTTCTGTAAAATATGCAGTAGAATATGCCTGATCCTCAACTTAAGCTGAACCCTCTTTGTAAGTCTCCAGGTTTCTGCTCCATATCTAAGTAATGCTCCACTATTAATGCTCCGCCATTGTCGCTGCCGCGAGCTGCAAGCCTGCAACCACAACTGCAAGCCAGAGACGGCCAGGCATTGATACCCTGTTCTTACCAAGGTCTTCGACCTTCAGTAACTAGGCAACCCCTTCTCTAGATTTAGCTTCCATCTGGGGATTGCTCTCCGGACACCCAGATTTCGTCGTTCGATGGCAAGTGCTGGTGAAACAGCCGGCTGATTCTCTTCGGTGCGCTGTTGGACAGTTTTTTCGGAAGGCCTTAGTTAAATCTTGCTTTAGGACATAACACTTTCAAAGCTCAAAGGCTGTAACATAGAGACGATGAAATAGGCGTATTTTGGAAGCAGCGAAGACGGTGTCTGCGCTCACTACCTGACGTGAATGGCTTGGACAGGTCTACTTTGGCGCTGGGGTAGCCGTGACTCGAGGAAGGAGGATGGGTCAAACAACCCTCAAGTTTTGAGTGTGAAAACGTAGAGTGGATTCGGGACAGTTGCCTGCCGGTGAGTCGACACGACAGCTTTACTTTGTTTGGCACTGTCCAGCCTGGTGTGTTTCTCCAGGAAGCAGCAAGATTGAGTTTTTTTTTCTTCAATAAAATGTAAAGTGGGTCAAGTTTTCAAGAGACTTGGCACTGTTGTAATCTTGTCACACAGGCAGCCTCAGCCACAGTTACGTTCACCGCTGGCTTGCTGATGTTACACGGCACACAGAACTGTGGTTATGTTTCTTGCCATGGTTTTAAGAAACCGAGCTTGGCAACTGGAAAAATGGCAGCGCCTACCACCGATGTTTGCATGCCGGCGAGCACATGTGAAAACCGAGGAAGCTCAACCGAGGATGCTTTCGCCCTGTGTAACATCGACGAGCCGTGGTTAGCGCTAACCGCGGTTAACCGCGATTGACCTCGGTTGTTGTAAACGCGCTTAGCTTGCCGTTGTAACATGGGTATTATTCAACAGCCCCACAATATACACAATTTACGTAGACTCAAACTATAAAAGTCGGCTGCTTTTTTACTTGATGGAGGTATTATATTTTCTGATCATTCTTCGAAATGCAAAAATAGTAGTACTTGGCTAACACTGTGACGGCCACCTATGACTTTAAATATATTTTATGTTGCCCGCCAAATATATTGCATAGGTGTTAAAGGCAGAAGTACCCGAAAGTATACTCAGTACCAGAAAACGCCAGGACACCAAAATAAGTTCTGGAAACACTCTCAAAAATAATTTTTGTGGAAGCTATCTTCACATTAACCGAAGATGAGACATCTCTCGTTCTAGCTCAAGGTATAATTGGCTGAAATGAGCCGGGACGGGATGACCTGTATTTACAAACACCGGGACAGAGCGTGAAGTTTTCGGGCCTGGCTGAACCTGGGCCCAAAAACCAGCTCGTATAGTGCTGTAGTTCAAACACAAGACATACGTGAGTTGACATTGACATAAAAGCTTTTTATGGAGCCTTGAGGGGATAAGAATGAACATCCGATGGGCAAGCCACCATAAACAGACATGAGACATGTGCTTCAGTTTTAACGAAAGAACCTTCTTTCAAAATTTTCCATTTAACAAATCATGAATAAGTATTACCACCCAGTAGAGTTCACTGTTCTGCAGCAACTGTGTCCTGCAACACCGCTAGACGCTGAAATCGTTTGCTGCTGCATAGTGAACGGCCCGATGACACCAATCATTCAATCTTACAGAAGGCTGTCGCCTACAGTCGGCTCATACCATTTAGTGATGAAGATAGGGCTGATGCGGCCACTTGCACCAAGTCTTTACATTGGTATATTAACAAAACACTGCCAACGAAAATTACTATGGCATAATTGAGAGGGTGGCAAGTTTTATAATCAGGTTAACAAAAGGTACAATAAGAAAGTGGTACTGGCGTAAGCACCTACATCGATCCATGATGCTCACTTGGTAAACGCTTCTGTGAATAGGGAGAGTGAACCATTAATAAAATGAAGACATAGTATGTTTTTCTGATTGGTGATTTTAGCGCCAAAGTAACAAGATTAAGGTCGGAGACCACGCAGCGGCAGAATATAGTATCGGCTCTAGAAATTCCCGAGGATAGTAATAATAGACTTTGCAGACCATAATAATTTAGAGATCCTGAATACCTTCACCATGAATAAAACAGCATAACAGTAAGTGGACGTGGCGAAGTTATAATGGCTAAGCTAAAGATGAAACAGACTTCATTTTGTGTGCACAACCAGGCAATCATCAGGATGTAGAAATGTATGGGAAGATCCGATGCAGTGACCATACAATGGTAAGAGCTCGTATTCACCTGTATTTTTGAAAAAGCAAAGGCGAAAACTGACACTCAAGAAGCCAAATATTGAGCTAGGGGTGAGAGAGAAAGTACAGAAATTAAAAGTATCACTTCAGAATATACTCGACGCTCCAAGAAAAGTAACCAGTGTTAACGTTGGCACAATCAATGATAATATTACTAGCATCATCAAAGAGTGTGCAGTGGAAGTCGGCGGTACAGTGACAAGACGAGACAGTGGCAAACTATATCAGCAGACACAAAATTTCATTAAGAGACGACAAATATTCAAAGGCCTAAAGGAAACCGACAAATTAGAGCTAGTGGAGCTTTTGCAGTTAATCAATAGGTGTAAAGTAGCCAACATCAGGAGGTTACTTTTTGGAAAGAATTGAACATGGAAAGAATTGAATAGGCTATAAAACGCGGCATAAGCCTAGAAGCCAGCCTATAGAGAAGGCAAAAATCAGATGGATACATTAAGAAAATTTTCGGATTGCAAAAGCGCTGCTATGTTGACGAACTTCAAAAAATTTAGAAATATGGTCCACGTTGAACTAATGCAGGCAAAAATGAAATACAACAAAAAAATATTTGATAAATTGAAGAACAACCCAAGTATACTTTGGAATGAAGTTTGAAACATTATTACCATGAAAAGAGAGCAGTAATATGAACATTACATAGGTGCAGAGGTACAGAAGCAGTAGCTGCTCTTAACGAATATTTCATTACTAGTTCCAAGTATACTGTTGAAGAGTAGCACGCGAACTCAGCTGTCGTGACCAATTTCAGCCTCTGAAACTCGGTAATACTGGCATCTGTTATCTTGCAGAATTTATGCAACTACTCTTTAAAGTGAAGAACGATGTTTCTTCTCGTTACGACGATGTTAAACCAGTAC